ATTTCAATGGCTGCTCCTGATGGAGCCTAAAGCAGACCCTGGTCAGGCCAGAAAGAAGCGTGAGGGCTCTTCCCAACAAGGCACTAGGCAGCTCCACAGACGTTACACCACTGAATCCTCACATCTCTAAGACTCAACCATTATCCCTGTTCTATAAGGAAAAAACAAGCTGAAGCACCTGCTCGTAGCCTGGCAGCCCAGAATTCAAATGGAGGCTGCTTTTTCAGCAAAGCAGAGACATCAGGGACCACTTTCACTCCAGTGTGGGAGGAACGAGTGATTAGTGGCCTAAGCCCTAGCGTTTCCAGGTGTGAGCTCACTGGTGCACCCTATACAGTTTTAATAGTTATTATGTGCTCTTCACAAAATCAGAACTTTCTACAAAGTGTTTGTATAATTAAGGGAAAGAAAAATAATAAAAGACAACCCAAGGAACATGAGATGAGATTCTAACCCCTTCATGCTTTCAATTCCCTTCCATCTTAATTAATTGACATGTACATCTGTAGTCAGGAGACCTGGATTCTAGACCTGGCCTCTCTACCTATAAGCATGTGGCCATGAACAAGCCCTCTTCCCCTCCACAGGTCTCTGTTTCCACACCAGTAAAATGGGGATAATAATATCTTCTCTACCTACCCCTAGGGTGTTGTAGGTATTCCAACAGAAAATGGGAGTAGAAATGCTAACACATTCTAGATCCTCTCTAGATACTCTCCGTATTCTTGCATCTGGTGAGGGCGGGGGAATGATTGTTTCTTGGAGAGCTCCCCTCCATAACACCCAGCTCCATGGATGGTCCTGTCAGCAATCCACACAATCACCAGCTTTGTGCTTTTATGATCTCAAAGCATCCTCACATTCCTGAGAGGGCTGATAATAATAGCTAAGATTAATTCCCCCTAGAATATGCTAAACACTCTGTTGGGTTTTTTAAATATTCTTTATCTTGAATCATTAAAATAATTATGGATGGTAAGTATTTTTTTAGTCAAACACACTTTTATTTTTGTGTTTTGTTTTTGTGAATCACCTCCTTGAATATAAAACTGATGTGTTGGTATTGGTCTAATACCAAGGAAAATCAGAACATCAACAACAGATTAGAAAACAGAATACAAGAATAGATGAAGTGTGAATTTCAGTGGTGGGGAACAGCATGTTCTCAATAATAAAATGGGAAATCACCATTTTCCCAGATGTTGGGGAAATGTAGGCATTATTATCCCTATTTTATAACTAAGGTAATTGAGACTCAGGGAGGTGAAGTAACACACACAGTAAGTGATGTAAAACCAGAATTGTCGGCAAAGTCTTACTAGAGCCAAAGCTCATTTTCTTTCAACCATACTGCACTGATTGCCTCCAGAATCCTTGTCTATTCTAACCCTCATCAGACTACAACCTTCCTTCCTACAGTTATTAAAAGTCTGAAAGTGAAGCCGTTCAGTCGTGTCCGACTCTTTGTGACCCATGGACTGGGGCCTGCCATGCTCCTCCATGGGATTCTCCAGGCAAGAATACTGGAGTGGGTTGCCATTTCCTTCTCCAGGAGATCTTCCCAACCCAGGGATGGAACCCGGGTCCCCCGCAGTGCAGGCAGACTCCTTGCCATCTGAGCCACCAGGGCAGTGTATTAAAAGCCTGGGATAAGAGCAAAAATAACACTCAGGTATCATTACCTGGTCTTCCTTGAAATGAGGTGCTAGGAAGATGGGTTATGGTGGGGATAGAGGTTTGTGGCTGCGGTAGGTGATGAGAATTGGCCCAGAAGGGAAATACTGAAATGGTCAACAGGAACATTCCTAGGAGTATATGTTGATACTACAATATTCTGGGCACAACTCAACATTAATTAAGCCAATAAATACATTACTGAATACCTAACACATGCTGGCACTGGGGCTACAGTGCTCAGATGTGGTTCCTGCCCTGATATACTCTTGTGAATCCTGAATTCATAGAACTCTTTTGTTAAATATTGAAAAATTAAAAAAGAAAAAACAGAACTAAAGCTAACACACGGTATTTTGCAGACCTAGGTGGGAAGCAAAGAAAGAAGTGGGTATCAGAGCTGGGGCTTCTCTTAATAAACCCACCTTGGTATTTGTGTGCCTGTTAGTAAAAATCTGCCAGAACCACAGAATTTAAGAAAGTGTGTATGTGGCGGGGGGGAGGGGGGGTGTGGGATAATAGGACAGGGGGCAAGCCATCTTTGCTTCTCTTCATCTTCCACAGAAGTTACTGAGGATGGACCCCCGTTTATCCCCTTCTTTCCAACACATAACATGGCTGGAAAAGCCAGAGTTTTGGAGATGAAGCACTAGCCCAAATAAGGCCCAGGCATTGGGGCTGTCCTAGCTAAGTAGACAGCATTGTATACATTCCTCAGCTCTCAGACCCTTTTCCCATCAGCTTTCCTTTTGCCAGTCTGGGACACATTGGAATATCAAGCAGGTGGCTTTCAGTTATAGGGGATTGTGGCTACCTAGTCAGTAGTTGGAAGAGTAAGAAGGTAGATATTTAAATACTAAAATGGCAACCTACTATTTTTATAGTGTCTTACAGCTTATAAAGCTTCGGCATCTACCATCTCATTGATTTACACCGGATCCTCAGGATGATTTATGAAGTAGAAAATTGCTATTATCTCCACTTTAGCAGGGGGATCACCAAGCCCAGAAAAGTTGGTGTTGTCATTCTGGTGTTGGAGGAATTAGGAAAGCACAGAGAAGGGGTGTCATCCTGACTGCAACAGGAGGATCCATCGGGGAAGGCTTCCTGGAGGTGACCCAAGAGCAGAGTGTAAAGAAAAAATCCACAAAATAGGTGAAGGAGTGGAGTCCAGGTAGATGACTTCACAAAGGTTTGAAAATATGACGAAGCCTGGAGTGGCAAGACAAAGCAAGATAAAGATGGTGATGGTGGCGACCGTGACAATAGCTAAGACCTGTCTACGCTTACCAAGTTCGGATACTGTTAGAACCCACACTGTCCTAAGAGGTTTATTTAGGCTTATTTACATTAATTCTCACACCTATCTTGTTAGGTAGATACTTTTATTATCCCATTTACAGATGAGGATAGGAAATGAAGGCACAGAGAAGTTACATAACTCAAGAAATATGGCCAAAATCACATATGATCTTGTGTGCTAACTTAAGAAGTATGAGTTTTATCCTAAGAGCCAAGGGCACCTCCCACTCTGTGCGTGAAAGATTCTCAGCAGAGAAAAGATGGGCACAGATTTGTGATGTAGAAAGCCCTCTCTCCTTCAGGGTGGACTGGGTGTTGGGGAGGGGAGAACTGAAGAGGCTCTGGTTCAAGAACCTAAATAGAGACAATGTGAGTAGAGAGCAGAATGCCAGTTTCTTGTGGGTAAGAAACTGACCCCCACATGTTTCTGCTTTCGCTGCCTGTAAAGGTAGAATAATATATATCCACCTACCTGCCTCAGGAATTGCTAGAAAATTAATGGGGTAGAAACCTGACTGGCTTTCGTGTGTTAAACAACACCCTGAACCACTGCTGGCGTTCTTTAAATGCTGAGCATATAAAATGTGCTCTGACCGGAGGAGCCGGGAATAATTATAGCTTGCTAATCATTGTTAATTTTACCACAGCTTTGAAATCCTGAACTTTCTCAATGATTCAAAAAAAAGATGGCAACTCTTCCATCCCATCCCAGTAGCCACACAGAAGCAGACAAGTAATTTCCCACAAGCTCCATTCGTTCATTATTTGCAGTGGTTCAGCTACTTACATGGGGGCATAGTGAAAGAAAAGCAATGATTTGCTCTTTTAGAATAAAATTGTACAAGGAACTCCTTATAGTCTTGCTGGTTCTTTGAAAGAATGTGTTCGTTTTCATCTCCCTATATAGAGTACGTGCATAAATATTCCCAGTTTGCCCCTGTTTGAAGGAGAAGGGGGAAAGTGTTTAACAGAACTTCTAATATCCTGGCCACCAGGACACTTGGGTTTTAACAGTGATATGGTAACCCGTTTCTAAACCTTCCTTCAGATTCGGCACCACTATTGCCATAAGCACTTATTTAAGGTCTCAGAACAGCCAAGCAGAGTTGCAAAGGCATCTCCAAGGAATCTGAGGAAACTGTTGGTCCGGGGACTTTAAATTCTCTAAGCCTCACCTACACCACCCATGGAATGGGTTTGATAAACAGTGAATACTGTCAGGACCTGACAGGAGGATGAGATAATGTTTGTGTACTGTAAACCATATAAATCCATGCTATTAAGGGAACTGAAAGACTGAAGGGGGTTCGATCCCTGGGTGGGGAAGATCCCCTGGAGGAGGGCAGGGCAACCCACTCCAGTATTCTTGCCTGGAGAACCCCATGGACAGAGGAGCCTGGCGGGCTCCAGTCTACAGAGTTGCAAAGAGTAGGACGCGCCTGAAGCGACTTAGCACGCAAGCAAGGGACTGAGAAAAGAAGCGAGGAAGTGAAAGAACTTAAAGCTGGGACAAGAGCTGGAACAAAACCTGACAGTCCCACGCCATCCTTCTCAAAACAATTTCTGAGCACTCCAGCCGCGGACTGCTGCCTGGACGCCCAAGGTCCTCGGCTGGAGGCCGCGCCTAGGGCGGGTCCCTTCTCGGGCGGGGCCCGCCGGACCGGGGGCGGTACCCCGTCCCCCGCCCTCAGCCGAGTATCGGTTTTCCTTTCCCAGGCTTTCGGTCCAGAGGAGACAGGACAGCCTCCGCCTCCCTGATCCTATCGCGGGCGGCGCAGGGTCGGCTGAGCCTTCCGTGGGACGGGGACGAGAACTCGGGAAGGGGCGGGCGGGGAATCTGTCACCCAAATACCAGCGGGTGAGTCGGCGGCCAAACCAGCCCTGCAGGTCCGGCGGAGTATAAGAGCTGGAGGGAGCGGCGGGCGGCAGACGCCTGGAGTACCGTCCCGCACGCCGGAGCCGGAGCCCAGCGGAGTCTCCAGCCCTCGTCAGCCCGCACTCGGTCCTCGCTCCTCCGCCCCACCATGGCCCGGGGCCCGGGCCTCGCGCTGCCGTCGCCGTGGCTCCTGGTGCTAGCGGCGGTGATCGGCCACGCGGCCGCGCAGAACCAGTGCGTGTGTCCCACCAACAAGATGACCGTGTGCGACGAGCGCGACCTGAGCGGCCGCTGCCAGTGCCGCGTGCTCGGCTCGAACCAGGCGGTCAACTGCTCCACGCTCACGTCCAAGTGCCTGCTGCTCAAGGCGCGCGTGCGCGCCTCCCACAGCGGCCGCGCGCTGGTGCGGCCGAGCGAGCACGCGATCGTGGACAACGACGGCCTGTACGACCCGGACTGCGACCAGCAGGGGCGCTTCAAGGCGCGCCAGTGCAATCAGACGTCGGTGTGCTGGTGCGTGAACTCGGTAGGCGTGCGCCGCACCGACAAGGGCGACCTGAGCCTGCAGTGCGAAGAGCTGGTGCGCACCTATCACATCCTCATTGACCTGCGCCCCCGCCCAGACGCCCCCGCCTTCAACCACTCGGACCTGGACGCCGAGCTGCGGCAGCTCTTCCAGCAGCGCTACCTGCTGCAGCCCAAGTTCGTGAGGGCCGTGCACTACGAGCACCCCACCATCCAGATCGAGCTGCGCCAGAACTCGTCGCAGAAGGTCGCCGGCGAGGTGGACATCGGCGACGCGGCCTACTACTTCGAGAGGGACGTCAAGGGCGAGTCTCTGTTCCTAGGCTCCCGCGACCTCAACTTGAGCGTAGGCGGACACCCCCTGGTCCTGGAGCAGATGCTCATCTACTACCTGGACGAGAAGCCCCCCCAGTTCTCCATGAAGCGCCTCACCGGCGGCCTCATCGCCGTCATCGTGGTGGTCGTGGTGGCGGTGGTCGCCGGCGTGGCCGTCCTGGTGATCACCAATAGGAGGAAGTCGGGAAAGTACAAGAAGGTGGAGATCAAGGAACTGGGGGAGATGAGACAGAAACCGACCTTGTAGGTACCAGCGGGGCTGGGGTGGGGTGGGGTGGGGTATCGGATTTCAGCAAGGTTCCAGACCCAAGTGAGTCAGTCACCCTTCTTGATTCTTGGCCCCCCAGCCACTAGACGTTTCTCCTCTCACATTCCTGCCTCCCCCCACCGCCCCCATATTTAATAGATCCTGTTCTCAGGGTCACCTCGCTTTCTGACTTCTGTCCTGAAGAAAGCATTTCTAAAATTCCTTCCCTTTCAGTCCAACCAGAAACCTGACTCCAAGAGTTAAGGGAAGTTTGGCAGAGGGTTATGTATAAGAATCAAGTGTCTGTATGACAACCCAGCCTGGTTTACAAATGCGGAAATCCATGCTGAAGGCTTTTAGCTGGAAATCAGCTGCTGTCTTGGGTTTAAGTTATTTCATTAGCTCCACTTGTATCGTGGCCTTCCTGATGAGGAGTTCGCTAATTGGGCCCATGTTGTATCTTCATTTCCTATCGTTTGTATTACCGACCACACATGCTTGTCACCGGGAAAGAAGCCTGTCTGAGCTGCCTGCACACATTTTAGATGTCTTTATTTGAGGGCAGACTTTGGCCCAGAAACTCAGCATGTTCTTCAACTTGCCCTTATTACAGCTGATAATCGTAATGTTTCTTTTGTAAAATGTTTGTACATAGGTTGTCTTTGATAATGCTGTTGTGATTTTTTTTTAAAAAAACATGAATTTAATAAAATATGGAAAAGGCACAAACCAAAAGATGGAGTTTGTGAAAACTTGCTGCCAATTTATGTGATTTGGGACTGCTCTAATTTCCTGTGACTCAGATTTCTTATTTCAAATTCTAACACTTCTTAGCAGGATAGGCCTTTTCCCATAGCCACTCTGGTGTTTTTGAGATCCCTGAGCTGGCGAGTGTAAACACAGGTGTTTCTAAATCAGGTTGTTTGGAAACGCCCTGCAGGAGGGTAGGTCTGAGGGAACCGGCTAGAACCAGCCAGTGTTGTCAGTAAAGGGGACCGGCCTTAGATTATCACCAAATGAGAATTCTCCGCTGGAGAAGAAAACTCTACCTTTGTCTCTGAGTTAAATGACTTCCCCACACGGTTACAGCCAGTCTGTAGCGGGCTTGTGCTCTGGCTGTGTGTGTGCATGTGCCCACGTACTCTGTTTTCCTAAGATTTTACTAGTAAGGTGATTTAAAAACTTACTGTATTTTAGCTGCAAAAAATCTTGTCTCACATTTATCTTCTTGTTTTTACTCATTCACGCTTATTTATGTGAAGCAGGGTGTGTTAGAAGGTCACTGTGGGGTAGCCTAGTGGTAAACAAGTTACTGCAGTTCCTGGGAAGTTGCTGCAACCATGGGCATGTACAAAGGACGAAGTGGTTGGTACATCCAACCCCAAATGCCTGCCCCTCAAGAATGAAGCACCAGTAAGATTTGGGGTGAGGGAGCTCTAAGCTGCTGCCTGGGCAGCTTGGGGCCGTGACTGATGTGTGCTGAAAGAATGATACCTTATGGTCCCCAGAGTCTCTTCAGCCTGTAAGAACTCCTGCTAAGGGAAGGCTCCAAATATCCTTTCAGGTGAAAACGGGGCTTAACAAGGGGAGAAGGCTGATGTAGGCTGGCAGTGTAAAGGACAGCTGACGTGCCTGAGGTTAGAATGAGAACCTTAACAATGAGAGTAAAACAACTCTCAGGCCAACTTCCCACTCCTCACCTACCCTCCACCCCCCCCCCCACTCCCCCCAACACTGAAATACCTTAGCTAAAGAGAAGTTGGCAATCACCTCTATCCTAACCTCTCATCTTACGGATGAAAGGGTGAGTGACTTCTCAAGATTAATGTTTCTGTGACCCAGCTGAAACTAGACAGATTCTTGATTCCTCATCCAGTATTCTTTTCACTGTATCACATTGCCATTGTTTCAAGAGTCACTTCAGAAAACTATCACTTGACTGCCCAGAAAGTAAACAGATTAAGGATTGAGTGGGCGGCTGAACAAAGGAAAAAGTTCTGAGCAACCCCATTCTTCATCAGAATGTGGCTTTTGAATAATTTCTAAATGTCTGCATTAATTCTGGGCTGAGTCATTGATTGCACTTTATTCACAGTTCTTAAAGCACTGTTACTTGTATCATCTCTGAGGTGCTGGCTTACTGACAAGTGTTGACAAACCTGGGTTCAAATCCTGCTGTACTGGGCAATAAGTCACTTAACTCTTCAGTTTCCTCATCTGCTGAAAACTATAATTCTCTATTATAAAAATTAAATGAAAGTAATTGTTAGGGGTGCCTAGAACCTGGTGTTCAATTTTTTCCTCTCTTATGGATTAGGTCCCTCAGCTCAGTCGGTAAAGAATCTGTCTACAAACGACTCCTGGGTTGGGAAGATACCCTGGAGAAGGAGATGGCAACCCACTCCAGTATTCTTGCCTGGAGAATCCCATGGACAGAGGAGCCTGGCAGGCTACAGTCCATGGGGTCACAAGAGTCGGGCATGACTTAGCGACTAAACTGACCTTCTGACACAGGTCAATAACCTTCTAACACACCCTGCTTCACACCATGGATTATGTTGATTTCACATGTCAGAAAACTGAGGTCCACTGGGGCTGAGTGAGTCATGATCACACATCCTCCATGTGCCAAAGCCAGAGTGTAGAACCCTTGTTTCAGCTTTCTAGCCCAGGTTTCTACCCCAGGCACCAAGCAGGTTCAAGGCCTGTGTGTTCAGTCGCTAAGTCGTGTCTGACTCTTGGCGACCCCATGGGCCGCAGCCCAGCAGGCTCCTCTGTCTGTGGGATTTTCCAGGCAAGAATACCAGAGTGGGTTGCCATTTCTTCCTCCAGGAGATCTTCCCCACCCAGGGATCGAAGCCAGGTCTCCTGTGTCTCCTGCATTGCAGATGGATTCTCTACCCACTAAGCCTTTTGGGAAGCTCCAGCAGGTTGAGATACCTTTCCTATTCACTTCTTCCAAGGAAGAGTTCCTCATACTCTGTTCTGTGCTCAACTCACTTCTGTCAGTCACAGGACCATACTGTCCAGAAGTGGCTCTCTCCAGGGGTTTAGCTACCACCTCCAGATTGCTCCCCCACCTCCTGCCCCAACTTAACACGTACTGTTTTAAGCTCTGGCCTGGGGCTGCCTTTGACAGGAATGTGAAGAGCAGGTATGATTCACCTTGCAGGTCACAGCTTGTCTTCTGAGCCCTGCAGGAGGTTCATTTGATTTCCTTGTTTCGGTCATCAGGGCTATCCCCACTCTTGCTATTTCCTTAATTGGAGCAATTTTTGGGGGACCCGCCTCATGGCTTGTGAGATCTTAGCTTCCCGACCAAGGATTGAACCCAGGCTCTCAGCAGTGAGAGCATGGAGTCCTAACCACTGGCTGCTGCTGCTGCATAGTCGCGTCAGTCGTGTCCGACTCTGTGCGACCCCAGAGACGGCAGCCCAGCAGGCTCCCCCGTCCCTGGGATTCTCCAGGCAAGAACACTGGAGGGGGTTGCCATTTCCTTCTCCAATGCATGAAAGTGAAAAGTGAAAGGGAAGTCGCTCAGTCGTGTCCGGCTCTTAGTGACCCCATGGACTGCAGCCCACCAGGCTCCTCCGTCCATGGGATTTTCCAGGCAAGAGCACTGGAGTGGGGTGCCATTGCCTTCTCCCCTAACCACTGAACCACCAATTCCCAGAGCAATTCTTTAAATCATGTACTTTTTACCTGCTTACATACTTTTGGCTTCACTGTTTTTTGAATTGAATCACAATGTCAGAGCTGGAAAGAGGATCATTTAGTCCAAGAGTCCATTTTCTGGATGAAGAAACTGAGGCCCAGAGAGGAGAATGGATTTACCCAAGTCTTGCAGATGGTGGCTGAGCTACCCCATAGCTCCAATACCCTGACTTCTGCCTTGTCTGATGTCTGTTCCACTTGTCTCCCTAGTCTCCTCTTTATTTTCACTCTGTCATTTCTGTTCTTAAATTGTAGTGTGTTTCCTTTAGTTTATTAATATCACTTAAATGGGAGCGATACTTTGGTCAAGTGTAAAATGTATAGGTTTTGAATTTACCTGGCCTTTCAGACCTCTTTTTTTCTTGTTTGTAAAACAGGTGAATCTTGTCTACTATGCTTGGTTTTAAAGATTAGACATAAGAAAAGATTGAGTACATATTTAGTAAATGATCAGTCTTGATAGAATGACAGCAAGACCCCTCAAGATCCAAATAACTAACTAGTCATGGTTGAACTCTCTCCAATGCAATGCAAACAGCACTTTCAGCCTACTTTCCTAAAGGGACTTCTCTGTCCCTAGGTGTCTGCTCTCAGGGAGATGAGAGCAATCTTTGACGTTACCTGTTTTCAGAGGTGGAGTCTGCCTGGTTTGTATGAAATGGCTGCCAAAGCTGAGTGAGATATCTTCGACTCTGATGTGAGAGGGAAATAAATGCTTTTGTTTTCAAATTACGTCATGCTTGGGTCTGTAAGAGTCTTTTATTTTAGCATAATCTTTTACCCAAACAAGTATTGGTGGCCATATTATTATTCCTGTAACAGACAAGGAAAAAAAAAAAGACACTGAAAGTTAAATGACTTGCCTGTGGTCACACATCTAACAAGTGGCAGATGTCAGTTTAGAGCCCAGGCACATTGGCCCTGAAACCTAGGTTCTTAACCAATGTATTATACTGTCTCCTAGAATTTATAAATTTGCTAGCCAGAGTATACTAGTTTCTGTTATAACATAGTTCTACAAATCTAGTGGCTTAAACAGTACACATTTATGCATAGTTATTACCTTACAGTTCCCTAGATCAGAAGGCTAGAAAAGACACAGGTTTCATTAGGCTAAAATCAAGATATCTGCAAGTTGCATTCCTTTCTGAGGGTGCTAGGGGAGATTTTGTTCCTGCTCATTCAGTTTATTGGCAGGATTCAGTTCCTTTTCAGTTATGGACCCAGATGTTTGATTTCTTCTCACAGGCTGTAAACTAAGTGCTTTCCCCGGTTTGTAGTGGTTG